CAAATAGTTTTCTAAATTTGCGCATTAAAATATAACCTAAATATAATTCTGGTTTACTGGCATTGCAGTGATTATGTTTGTACAATGACTCCACATTTGTATTTTATTTGTTACTAACAAATAGCACATTGAGAAATATGTGGGGTTTTTTTTTTGGTAAGATTGTTGTAATTAACATTTTCTCAAATACCAGCCCCACAATATTTTCTAAAACTTTCTGACTAAGTTAAAATGCTGCTGGGAGGAAACTATTCGGGGAGGGAAAAATACTTTGATATGATTTTGTGCAAATGTTCTATGAACAATTGATATTTTCTTCCAATTTCTTTCAACTGGGTTTTAGTTTGTTTGTTGGAATTTTGCTTTTTGTAATTTCTAAAGTCAGAAATGTAGCTTAGAAGCCAGCCATGTGTTTTGAGGAGCTTTAGAATTGGCCTACTCTTATAAACATGGCAAATTCAAAGACTAGTTGGGTCAATTGGCCACCATAACTGGTTACACTTCATTGGTAATTTCAATGTTGCAGAGGAGTAACAACCTTGTTTAGTGACCGTTTGCAGTTACAAAGGCAATGAAAATGTAGCTTTATGACAAGTTCTCACACTTATGACCTTTGCAGCTCTGTAAAGCAAAGGAAATCTAAAATAAGATCATAAGCACAATTGCAGTTTTACTTAGCGGCCACTTCACTTAAGGCCAAGTTATCAGGCGCAATTGTGGTTGCTATAAGAGGACTATCTATGTGTCAATTGCATACATTTTGATGTATTTATCCAAAGTGTGTGTGAGAGAGCATGGAGGCAGGGAGGAAATATCATCTGTAGCATAGAATATTTTATTTATTTGTCTAGTACAGGGTTGTCAAATTAAGGGCTTGCAATCTAGATCCGAGCCATGGGATGCTTAAATCTGGCTTGCAGGGTCGACCTGGAAATAGCAAAGGACTGTCTCGTGATCCTCTGTTAGCAAAAATGGGCCATGTGGGCCCCCCCCCCCCGCACTCTGTTTTGGTTGTCAGGGTGCTGCAGGAAGCCATCAAGGCTGAAAAAGGGATGCAGGGCAGCCATATGTGTTTTGGGCAGGAGGGTGCTGCAGGAGGTGTCCGTCCCACTGCTACCCGACCAGTCCGCAGAGAACTACAATGTTGATCCAGCTCTCGAAGAAATCCACACTCCTGGTCTAGTAAAATTAAGGATGTTGTTTATTAAAAGGTATATTATACAATGCATGTCATTTGTTGAGCAGGAATTGGGTGGATTCTACCGGTTCGGACCAGTTTGGACAAACCGTTTGTTACGATTCTACGCAGTTCAGAGAACTGGCAAATCATGCCACTGGCTGGCCCCTCCCCTCCCCTCCCTGCCCGCCCCTCCATGCCCAGTCACTCCTTATCTCACCCATGTGCCATCGCTGCCTGCAGCCTGTCTTCGGCTGGCCGCCAGCCAGCCATTGCTGCCCGTCTTCCGCCATGGCCCTGCCTGATCTGATCTTCTTGGGTGAGTGAAGCTCTGCAAGCCCTGGTTGCCTACCAGCTGCTGCCAGAAAGAATTGAGAAATCAAATGAGTTTTTTTTTTTCCTGGATCAGTTTAGCCTTTTCCAGAGCTTTTCCCTCAAAATGCGACAGTGATCAACATTCCTTCTTATATTATTTATGCTGAATTTAGAGTAATAACCAGAATAGTTCAGCAAAAACAGGTATTTCTTGTCTTCCGTTATAATTACTCATTGCTTTAGTCTATTTTTCTTTGAAGTCTCAGGCAAGTGAGTAGCACCTAAGGGTTCCCTTGTCAAATATCTTGTAAGTGATTGACAAATCAATAGATAAAGAGAGAGAGAGAGAGAGAGAGAGAGAGAGAGAGATAAAAAATGTGCAATTCTTTGGGGAAAATCAGTTTCCATTCAAAGTGATCCAGCTGTTTTTATCTGCCACTGTCAGCACATCTGTTTCTTTTTGCTGTTAGGGAGAACAGCATTCTTCTGCTCTGTTGTTGCAGTTTACTTTCTCTTTCCCCAGAGCAGCTGACCCTTGTGAACCTTGAAATGTACTTTGGAGAATAGTCTGGGAAATCCATTGTAAATCAACCACATTTGCTATTCTGCCACCTGAATGCTTGTTTCACTGAAATGATCATAAAGCCCAGCTAGAAGGAAACTGCCTCTTGCCAAGACATTCTCTTCAGAAAAGAAATTGTGCCAGCTTGGAAGGTTTTAGGTCATGCTTGTTTTGCATTGTTTTGTATTGTTTTGTCCAATGAATCTAGAATATAGCAACTTGGAGTACTCTCTGTACAGTTGTTTTAAAGAAGATATAGGTGGAGGAAAAGGAGTATGTGGAAATATATATGCATTCAATGGTGTGGATAGTTAGATTTGGGGAAATAGAATTGTCTCTTTTACTGCTTTTCAAAGTTCTATTTATTTTAGTTAATAATTTATATTCTTAGTGTCATAGTGTTTAATCATTCAGTCTACTTTTTATGTTAAATAAAAAGGATTATTACTAGGGAAACATAGAATCATTTGCTTGCTCCATCATGAAACTTGCTTATAACTTTACATAAATCGTTGCCTTTCGTATACTTACAAGGCTATTTTAGAAAAAAGACAATAACAATAGGCAGGAAATTACAGAATAACAGAGTTGGAAGGTCTTCTAGTCCAACCGCTACTCAAGCAGGAAACCCTATACCACTTCAGACAAATGGTTGTCCAATCTCTTCTTAAAAACCTCCAGTGTTGGAGCATTCACAACTTCTGGAGGCAATCTGCTTTGCTGATTAATTGTAATAACTGGGAGGAAATTTCTCCTTAGTCCTAGGTTGCTTCTCTCCTTGATTAGTTTCCATCCATTGTTTCTCATCCTGCTTTTGGGTCCTTTGGAGAATAGATTGAGCCCGTCTTCTCTGTGGCGGCCCCTTAGATATTGGAACATTGCTATCGTGTCATCCCTAGTCCTTTTCATTAAAGTGGACATATCAATTCCAGCAACCGTTCTTTATACGTTTTAGCCTCCAGTCCCCTAATCACCTTTGTTGCTCTTCCCTGCACTCTTTTTAGAGTGTCAGCAGCTTTTTTATGTCATGGCAATCAAAACTGGATGTAATATTCTAAGTGTGGTGTTACCAAGGCATTACAAAGTGGTATTAATACTTCAATACATAATAGTGTTTGACTGGCAAGAATAGACAAACTCTGTAACTTGGAGTCCTCCAGAAATTTGTATCATCAACAGTTGGCATAGCCAGTGTTGATTGCAGATAATGAAATTTTGTAGTTTCAGACTGGGACCCAGGCTGATTAGGGTGAAAGGATAGACATTTTGCTAAATCCTCATTTTGGGGGGCATGGGTTTATCTTTATTTGCTTTGTTTGTTTTATTTATTGTTATATTTATTTGCTTTATTCTGCACACATATATATTTATCATTCTATTTGTCCTGATTTGTTTTTCCTTCATCTATGCCTACATCTTCAAACCTTATATTATGAGAATTCCCATTCTGGTGCCTTCCAAAGATGCTAAATTTCAGCTCCCAAGAGAAGATTGCCTATAAATTGTGCAATTCAATTTCTATACCAGCGTTATTTTACATGCTGCCCTATTGTTCTCAGTGAGCTGTACTGTGCTCACAGCTTTAGGCAATCTAGCTTACCACAGAAGCAAAGCCCACTGAGTATAATGCAACACATCCATTAGAAGAGAAAACTTTGTTCAGATGAAGGAGACATCCTTATGAATGGTGGATCACACTATACCAGGCTGGCCACAAAGTGATGGTCCTAGCATAAACTGTCCCATACTAGTGGAAAGAGGCAGTTTCTGGTCAGCTGCCAATAAGGTTTTGAGACTGGATGCACCATATGAAAAACACTCTTCCTTGAATTGAGCAGAAGGAAAACTTTTTTCTAGTCTTTTCTGAGCCCAGCGTAAGCTGTCCCAAGTAAAAAGATTTATGTGTACTATTTGCTTCAAAGTTGATTGGGACCAAGAAATATACAGGTAGTCCTCAACTTACAATTGGTGGCTTAGAACCATTTGAAGTTTCAATTGACCTACCTGGGGATGCTTACGATTCAGATTTGAAGTTCTGATAGTCAAGGATTCTCCCCACGATCACATGTTGAATGCATAGCAATGCAACCATATTTATGACCATTTTCAGAATGCCACGTTTTACTATAATTTTACCATAAACTGGTATTTACTTCTGGTTTTCGGCAAAACCATACCCATAGCATACCATTGGTTTGCTTAGCAACCTTCACTTAGTGGCCTTCATTTAATGGCTGTCCCAAAAAGGTCATAAAATTAATTTGGTCGCATGATCAAACCCATTTTACAATCATTATTAGTTATAACCATGATTGGCAGACTCCATTCTGGTTGTACCTCAAGAACTTGTAACCTGTAATTTATATATTTTTTATATTTTTTCCATTACCAGGAGGAGGAGCAACAGAGTTGCATCTCCTACCTCTTTCATATTTGCTTTTTCCAATGCTGGTAAGAATACTTTAAGGCTAATCCAAAACTAAGAAAAAAGACTTGATAGGCAGACATATAAAATGAGGGATTGTAATCCTCACTATACAAAGACAAAGAATAAGGATAAGTAAACATTATGATTAATAGACTTGGAGGATAATGGTTACAAACATGGCATTTATAAGGTTTGATATTATTAACTAATTATATATAAAACTGAGTGTTTAATTAAATAACAGAAAATGTTTAGCAAGAATAAGTGAGATCATGGTGAATAGACGGAGAATAATGGTTATGACTATTGTGTGTATAAGGTTTATTATCTGTATTTAAAAGAGATTGTAGCCAGACATTACGCTGCCATTGTGGATATGGAAATTTTATATTTAATAATATAAGTTGCATACTAATAAAATAATAATAATAAAGAATTGTTTTAAAAACCTTGGATTACATAAAAGCATTTAGCATTGGACACAATAAATAAGCTAATTTATTTCATATCTCTTTTAGCTCTGGAACAACTGCTGACAGAACTGGAAGATTTTCTGAAGATACTAGATAAAGAGAACCTCAGCAGCACAGCCATAGTCAAAAAAAGCTTTCTGGCTGACCTCCTTCGACTGTGCACCAAGTCAAGTGGTAAGCAAAATCACGTGAACAATTATTGACTTTGGAAGCTTTACCTTTCTTGCTGATACCCCAATCTATCTATTTCTCATTTTTGTTTGAATCCTATTCCCAAATGAGATGTAAAAGGGAAACAAGTATCCTTTATCATCATGAAAAAAATGTATTGGTCTATATGTGTCTGGAATCTGTTTAATTAGGTGCAAACCTTGTTATCAAAATTTGTCTACAAATACTACACTATTTACAGATGGTGGGGGATTTAAAATGGATAATGAAATTTTTGTTCAGTTGTGTTTCTCCTAATTTGTTTTATAAATTAAAGACATTCAAGATGACAGCAAAGTCCATAAAATTTATTTCCTTCCTTTTATTGCAAACATCATAAATTATTTTTATTCACCAAAGTTTGCTAATAAGATTAATTTGCAAGGAATTAATCAACTTATCATTTGCCCTTTACAAGGTTCTCGTTTCTCTGTTTGCTCAAGATAAATTCTTCAGGAACAAAGCCCAGTAAAGTGCTTCTGAAGAGAACACAGCATCTAAGGGAAGGGAAGAGCAAATTTTTTCTATAACTTGTTTAAAATATCTGCCATAGAGTAAAGCACATAAATTAGCTTATCACAACTGCAAGTGCAAAAACCATGCTGGATAATGACAATGGGTATGATGGTCCCACACATCATTGGGGATACTGATGTACATGTACATACAAAATGCAAAGCAGTACTTTATAGTATTTTTACACTGCAGGTGGTGATGAAGAATACATTTATATGAACAGAGTGACCATAAGTAAACTACATGGGGAACCAGAGAAATCCAACAAAGGTAAGTATCAAATGCTACTATCATTCAAATGTATCTATAGGGCACCAAGCTTAAAAATAAACTATTCTAGAAATACAAGTATTACCTCTCATGTTGGGAGATGGTGGAGATATACTGTGTTGAAGTCATCAGATTTGTGCTCTTTGATATATTTTCTATCTTATTTGGCTTAATACACTGGGCTAATGGATAATATGAATTGTTGAAAACCTATTATGCTCTTCTACCCAGCATCTCTGAATAGCACTTTTCAATTGTACATACCAAAGCACAGGGAAATGCTACATCTGTAGTATGCTCTATTCTGTGGCATTAGGATAGATAATAACTGCTTGTGACCTCTAGGTGGAGGGATATTTTGCCTTCAGAAGCTTTTTGTATACACAGATTCTCTTTTTGTGAATATTAAAAAGCTCCATACCGTACATAGATATTAAATAGCACGAGTACTAAAAGCTCCCTATGTAGGATGATTCTTTAAATTAGTACATATATCCATCTCTAACAAAGAGTTGGTTTGATAAGCTCTTACTACTTAATCTGTTTTGGTTTCTGCAGCTGCCTTGCTTGGGTTGAGCCTATAACTGATTCTATTTTGGGATTTATAGATGGAAAAATGTATCCCCTGGTATTTGTCTCTAAGTTGTATAGAAACAGAAAATCTGAGAAGACGTGGGAAGAACAGCAGATGTATGATTTGTTTGGCTAATAACATTACTATACTATGCACAGTTTGTTTTGCTGCTTCCCTTCTTATGCCAGAAAACTATTAAAAGTTTCAGATGCAGAGCTGTTATTGTGGCTCCTCAGGCTCAGTCCCAAAAGAACTGTGGTTCTAACTTTATTTTTAAATTGTACAAGAATGTAACAAAGTTCATGCCAGATTCTTTCCAGTGTCTTGGTAACCACTGCTTACCATTTGGGTAGCTATCAGAGCATCCAACTTTAGAATACTCTTGTTTTCAGTGAAAGTTTTGCTTAGTATATTTATAGGGATGCCTGAAGTGATTTCAAATATAACCTTTTTGTACATAAAGATACTTTCCAAGTATCGAAATCATGTTCCTCTCTCTTATGTCACCATACCAGAAAATGACAGATCTGATTCTGTCAGTCTTTTGCAATATATTATCCTCCTCATATTTTGGATAATGTCCCTCATGGTTTTTAGATAGCCTTGAGCATATTGATAGGAAAACTTTAGGGGACTTATAGGAGATAAATTATAATAGACTAAGAATTGTTGCAGGTAGAAAGGCTGCACCAGAAAGGTTATCGGTAGGGAAAATATAATTTGCTTTCTCTGTTCCAGGAATAAGCAATTTGGTGGTATTCTCTATGTTTTGGATGGAAGATCATTGTGATTGTGTTATACTACTTACATCTGATGTTTTAATCTGGTTACTGTATAATCATAATGTAATACACTTTTCAGGGATTTTAAACAGGTGTTATATTCATTTCTTTCCATACATTGTCAAATCCCAAAGAATGAAATAGTTTGTTTTGTACTACATTACATTTGCAAATTGGCTGAAAATCAGGTTGGTAGAATTTACTCTCTTACCACAATTAACTTTTTCTCAGTCGGGTTTTTCTTCTTTGGACTGAAAAGACTGAATAACCTGGTAATTTAAACCATCCTTAGCAATAGTAAGGAAAAGATGAATACTTACAAATTTTGATTTAGGCATCAACTGGGTCTTAAGTAGACTGATTATAAGGCATCATTGACTTTGTAGTTTTAATGTTAACTGAAGAATTACTACACCAGTAATTCTGCAACCACCAAAAGTGTATGTCTTGAGCTATATTATTTTTTCACCACATTTTGGGAGTGAAATCAATTGCCATTTTGGTGGTCTAGACTAAGTAGGCTAATTAATCATATTTTTCTTTCAAAACAAAAGTGGAATATCTGAGATTATAGCGGAGTATAATTTTTTGTAATTACCATTTATTTATTGTGATTTCTCTTTGCATTATGATATTAGGTTACCAAGATTCCTTGACTAATGGAGAAATGGAGCAGTATTTGTATCCTCCACAGAAAAGTTTGCCAGATCTTCCACCTTCAAAAATAGTAAGTCCCTGATATATTATATAAAAATATCGTACGGATACATACTGTGTTAGAATTTGAAGATCTTCTAACCTGCAAGATATATAAATCCATAGAAGTTTGTAAAGTACCCACAAATAATACAAGAAAAAAATAATACAAGAAAAAAGAGAAATCTATATGGGGATATTATTTATTTTTGCTTGAACTGAATTTTCATCTTCATTCTAAATCAGGGGTCTTCCAACTTGACAGCTTTAAGACTTGTGGACTTCAACTCCCAGAATTCCTCTTCCAGTCATATTAACTCAGGAATCTTGGGAGTTGAAGTTCACAAGTCTTAAACTTGCCAAGTTTGAAGACCCTTGTTCTAAATGTTAAGCAACTAGCTAACAAACTTATTTTCATCAATTTCACAGATAGCCCTACCTGAATATTTCCTAGAAATTCTTTTTGCTGTTGTTGCCCTGCTGTCTTGATAATTGTCTGCTGACTCTTGATAATTGTCTGCTGCAGCTATTTTTTGTTGACTTAATGATTATACAGAATATTACAGCAGCTCTAAATCCTATTGTGTTATCATTTGTTTAATCTTGGCTTCATTTGGAAAGATTTGTCTTTTAAGAGACTGCTCGGCAAATCAGTTCCTTCTCATTTTGAGTCCTGTGAAATGAGGTTGCATTCTAGAATAACAGAGTTGGAAGGGACCTGGGAAGTCTTCTAGTCCAACCTCTTGCTTAGGCAGGAAACCCTATACCATTTCAGACAAATGGTTGTCCAATCTCTTCTTAAAAACTTATTGAGGTCATGGACAGAAGCTCAGGAATCTCATGCATGATATACTTTGTGCATTAAAAAAGAGAAAATGTGCAAGAAAATATACGTACAGCATGGACCTAGTGTGGGAGGAAGTTAAAACCTGTGGGTGGTCTGCTGAGGAAATAGCTGCAGTAAACTGCAGTCAAAGGGTGATGAGACAGATTATTTCTGTGAAATCCGGCTGCAAGGATTTGGAGTGAGTGATCCCATCAAGGTAGCTGGGGGAAAGGAAGCCTGAAAAAAACAGAGACTTTAAGATGTACAGCTTAATTGTCCAAGAAGTGTTTTAGTCAATTCAGCTAGATAGTAATAACTGACTGCTTTTTGGCGGGTTGGATAGAATGAGAAGCTGTTTGTAGAGACAGCAACTCCCAAATACGCAATCCATTCTTTTATTTCTATTTTTTTTATTTGGTTTGTCAATTGCTTACAAGATAATAGGTATAAGTAAAAACATAGTTATGAATACATGGATACATATAAGGGAAAAAAAAGAAAAGAAACAATAGGACAGGGATGGTAGGCACGTTGGTGCGCTTATGCACGCCCCCTACAGACCTCTTAGGAAAGGGGTGAGGTCAATAGTAGACAGTCTAAGGTTAAAGTTTTTGGGCTTTGGGGACCACAGAGTCAGATAGAGTATTCCAGACATTGACCACTCTGTTGCTGAAGTCATATTTCCTGCAATCAAGTTTGGTGCGGTTTACCTTTAGTTTGTATCTATTGTGTGCTCTTGTATTGTTATGGTTGAAGCTGAAGTATTCATTGACAGGTAGGACATTGCAATGTATGATTTTATATACTATACTTAGATCGGACTGAAGGCGGCGTAGTTCTAGGTTTTCTAGGTCTAGAATTTCAAGTCTGGTGGCATAAGATATTCTGCAACGAGTAGAGGAGTGGAGAACTCTTCTTGTGAAATATTTCTGGACTTTCTCAACTGTGTTAATATCAGATATGTAATGTGGGTTCCAGACTGATGAACTGTATTTGAGTATTGGCCTAGCAAATGTTTTGTATGCTCTAGTTATTAGTGTAATATTACCAGAGAAAAAGCTACATAGGATTAGGTTAACAACTCTTAATGCCTTTTTGTCTATGTAGTTACAGTGGGCTCTAGCACTTAAATCATTAGAAATGAGTACTGCAAGATCCTTGACAGAATTTGGATCATCAACAAGGTCTTGACTATTCAGCCTGTATTTTATTTTCTGATTTTTTTTCACCAATATGTAAGACAGAGTATTTATTTGTTGAGATTTGAAGTTGCCATTTGTTTGACCATTCTGATACATAGTGAAGGTCTTTTTGAAGGGTAGCAGTATTGTCTGTGGTGTTGAATAGCTTTACATCATCAGCGAAGAGAACGCAGTTGCTCTTAATAAGATCACAGAGGTCATTTATGTAGAGTATGAAGAGAGTTGGTCCTAAAACACTTCCTTGGGGCACACCACTGTTGACAGGTACAGAATTTGATAGGATGCTCCCAATTTTGACCATTTGTTGTCTGTTTGACAGGAATGCTTCTATCCAGTTATACAGGTATCCAGAGGTACCATAAGATTTTAGTTTTAGGAGTAGTTTGTCGTGTACCACTGAATCAAAGGCTTTACAAAAGTCTATGTAGATTGTGTCTATTGCTTTGCCCTGATCGAGTTGTGTCGTCCATATGTGTTTGCAGTGTAAGAGTTGCAGATTACAGGATAGGTTTTCTTTTAAACCAAATTGTTTATTAGAGAGTAGGTTGTTTGTCTCTAAGTGGAGGATAATGGATTGGTTAATAATTGATTCCATGACTTTACAGGTGATGCAGCATAAAGATTGGTCTGTAATTTTCAACTAGGCTGGGGTCTCCCTTTTTGAAGATGGGGATGACCGTAGCTTGTGACCATAGTTTTGGCAAGGAGCTGGTCCTGAAATTTTTTTCAAAGATTATGCTTAGAGATTCAGCTATGACAGTGGATAGCTTTTTTAAGAAGTAGGCACATATTCCGTCTGGTCCAATAGATAGAGATGGTTTTAGATTGCGTAGTGCTTTTTCAACATTGTCTTCTGTAAAATCGATATGTATTAGATTTTCCCCATACTATTCTGTAATTTTAAAAATTACAGTAGATACTCAAATGTACTGTATATTTAAAAGCTTCTTTCTCAATACAATTTCTTTGAAATTCTGTGCTTTAACACAGGTGGATCTGGATTGGACGCACAGCTATATTTTTATATCTATGATATGTAAATGCTAATGGTGACTTAACAACTAATTGACATTTTCACTCAAGCTACAGGTAGATAACCTCTTCTCTTCCTCCTTTTCTAAATGTGTTGCTGAAATGCAGCACCAGCATGCTGGAAATTCTAGTTCAGTAACCTTTAGCATGTCAGACATTGCCTAGCACTGGTCTAGAAGATCAGATCTAGGATCTGGAGATTCAAAGTGGAATGCATGAGGATTAAATAATTCAAGCTATCCTGTTTAAAGACTGGTGTGTATGTGTGTGTGTGTGCATGCGCGCATGCAACATTAAATAAGGTAGACAACTTTTCTGAGTTTTGGTAAACACATGCTAGTTGTGTTATACCACAATAGCTACAGCTAGGTTGGCCTATATAAATACTAGCACTTGTTTGGTGGGAAATATTGCCCCTCTCTTGATTTGTAGAAGAGCAAATAAAGAAAGGTCTTTCGCTAGCTGTCAGGTTGAGATCATTTCACTTAATTCTTAATTCACTTATTATTTCTAAATTTATTAGGTACTCTACAGCAGGGGTCTCTGACCTTGGCAACTTTAAGACTTGTGGACTTCAAAGAAGTCCACAAATCTTAAAGTTGCCAAGGTCGGAAACCCTTGCTCTACAGCAAAAGCTGCAAGGGCAGTATACAATAAATGTATGGATTAAAAATTATCATAAAAATAGTATAAAACAAGAATGAACTAAACAGTTGCTAAAGGAGCAGAGACTAAAACTGGCATTGATTTAGATAGAAGAACCTGACAAACAATCAAAAGATCACCACATGATACTTGACATTGAAAAGTCTATAAAGTTGTTGCCAAGTTGTTTGTTTAGGAAAGAAATTCTACCCTTTTAGGGTTGTTGTTGGGGAGAATCTTAGATTATGAAATCCACTTTTGCTTCTCCTTTATGCCCTTTCTTATCAAGCTTAGTTTTAGCGAAGATTTTCTTAAGATTGTATCTGGTCAACCACAAAAGATGTCGCTAAGTATTCTGGGAATGACTTATGCTTCTTGTATCTAATTGAGAGGATAAAAGCTTGAAGTGAATCCTGTACATGGTTCTTGATTGTTAGGAGCAACTCTGACCATTCCTGTTAACTTCAGAATGGAAATCCCAGGAGCTAAGATTGGATCTGTTTCAAAACAATTCATCAGTGAAGATTTCAAAGCAAGCTCTGGATGTTCATAAATAATCAGAAGAGAATTTGCAAACCTCTTGGTCATTATCAAGACTTTGTTGTGATTGTTTTAAAGAACATCAGCATGAATACTGACACAAAAGCATCATTTTTAGAATTGGTTCTGAGGCCCTGTACAGGTTTTTTTTTCCACAATGGAAAAATGAGAGAGTTGTTAAGCTTAACTTTGAAAAATAAAGTTCAAACAACCCCTACCCTGTTATAAATTGCTTTATGCATCTTTCATTAATTTCTTTATACTTGTCTTATTTCTTTAACATTAGGTCATAGGCATTTGTAGATTGTATGTCACGTATACATTTGGAAGATCCCTTGAGAGTGTTTTCTGTATACTAATTTAGCTTACTTCCTGCAAATCTGTCTAGAATTTTTTGAGACACATATGTGGTGGCTAGGTCTTTGCAGAAATAACTAAATTATTAACCATTCATTTCCAACCAGGCTATATACTCAATATGAGGTACCTTAACCTCAAGTTTTGCTTGACTTCAGCTAATGGTAAAGGTGGATTATAGTGGCACCTACAAGTTTGGAAGGTTCATTATAAAGTTAATCAAATGTGTTTCTTTGACATCTTGTGCAGAGACTTAAGAGGGAAGGGAAGGGAGACCATGATCCAAACAATATTAAAGTTTACAAAGGACACAAACAAAATGAATTAGCAGTTATAGTTGTATTTTTTTACTCTAATTTAGAGGAGAATCAAAAGAGCTGATTGCTTCTTATTCAAATCAGTAAAAAGGACTCTAGCAGAAATATTTGC